TAAAATGCCGATGTGGGGACACACTCCCCTGTGCTCCTGGTCTGCCCCGGCGGTGGGTTCCTGCTCCCCCTCTGGGCTTGGACTGCAGGCCAGAGGGGGTCTGGCATGGGCGAACTTCCCCCGCTCACCTCTGGCTCCTGAGGAAGCCTTCTGCAGGTAGTCTTTACTGAAGAATTGTCCCTGTTCTAAAATGGTGATGTGGGACACACTCCCTGCGCGTACGGTGTCAGGCACACTCTTCTGCGTGCCTGGTCTGCCCTGGCTGTGGGTGCTCGCTCCCCCTGTGGGCTCAGACTACTGGTCGGAAGGGGCCCGGTGTGGGCTAACTCCCCAGCTGGCCACTATCTCCTTCAGGAGCCTCTGCTGGCTTCAAGTCGCTAGGTGGCGCCAGAGATCTCTCCTAGAGCCCTTGGGGAGCTGATTTTCCACCCCGTGGGACAGGGAGCAGAGCGGGGATGGTAGGGTACACCTCAACGGCTTTGGGGTGCTGTGTCTGCCTTGTGCCCCACCGTCGTGGGGAACCCACGCCCCTAATTTCGTGCCCCGGGTCTCAGTTCCAAAGCCCTCAGTTCCAGGACGCGGGCTGTAGCCCAGATCAGTGGGGCGGGATGGCGCCTTTTGAATCCCGCTCCCGTGCCTGGGCGCCTGGTTCCTGCTCACTCCGGGAGGGCCTCCGCGCGTCTCCCCGCAAGCCTAGGTCGTCTCCCCGCAAGCCTAGGTCGTCTCCCCGCAAGCCTAGGTCGCAGGCGCGGGGACCTGGGCAGCTGCGATCCGATCCGCGCAATCCGCGCTGCTTTCCCCGCGCAATCCCGCTCCGCGTCTGTTTTTCCGGCGCGCCGCTTCCGCGCAGGCTTACCGGGCGGCCGGGGCTGTGTGCTGGGGCTGGTCTCCTCCTGGGCGGGGCTCTCTGCAATGGCGCCCGGAGCTCACCTCCGAGGCGGATCCTGCGGGGGTTCTCCACAGCTCCCGTTCACAGGGTGTGGTGGCTGCAATAGTTCCTTTCCACTCCCAGTCCCGCTTGCTGCGTCCTTTGTTCTTGTTGGCAGTTTTAGTTTGTTGTTTTCCTCCTCTCTGCAGGTCGGAGAGTGCCGCCTCTGTGGGCGGGGGAGGGGAGCAGGGTTCTGCGCTTCCCTCCCTTCTGGTCCTCTTTTATGGCCACTTTCTTCTTCGGGTAGTTTGCTGGAGTCACCCGTTTATCTTCCGTGTCCCGGTTCTCACTGGGACCTGCCGCTTTTCCTCCCTATTAACTTTTTTTAATGGGAGATCTTACTCGCAGCGTCTCCTCGCCGCCATGTTGCTCCGCCCCCAACTCTCAGTCCTCTCTTGGCCTGTCTCAGTCAGATCTTAGGAGAGAACTCTATTGTCTAAATTGATATAAATGCCAGGAATTTAAGGAGGAGATATGATAGAGGGTTTGGTGATTATTTTAATTTTGTTGTTTTTATATCAGAGTCATAGTTGTCCCATCTAACAATTTAAAATATAATTGGGAAAGAAACAAGCAAATAAGTGGTAAAATAAAGGGGACAGAAAAGTATCACAGATCCATGATTTGATGTTTGCCCAAGTAAAACCAAGAATATAAATGTCAATGTTCATCATATAAACTTAGAGCCAACTAGTGGAATGTCTACTAAATGTCCACTGGGTTATTCATTTTACTTACTGTTTATTTAGAATTTGCAGTGATTTTGACTGATTTCCCTGTGCAAGAACTGAAACTGTATTCGTATTACAACCTTCTCTCAAAATAGCCCATATTTCTTCTTGGAGGATAGCATTACATCTACAGTATGTTGATTTGAAGTGATGTTTGTCGGATCCCAGTGATCATTTGTGTTCATGCATCTAAGACATGATGAGTTTGGGCCTATCAATCAACTTTTGTATTTATTTTTGGGAAAATAATTGAGAGGCCACAATTTGTCCTACAGAATACTGTCTAGGGGTTACAGCTCAGGGATAGAATAACTGTATGCTGTTTAGTGTAGAGAGATGAATATAAACACTGATTTCCCCTTCAAGTGATACACTCTCTTATCCGCTGTGTCATCCAGCCAGGAGTGGCAATTTACCATGCCCTGAATGATTAAAAGCTACAGAAAACTCTCAGTCCAAGTACCACTAATGATAACAACCATGGAGAGTACAAGATTCAGATTGCATGAGATTTAATTACTTTAGTTTATCAGAGTTAATCCTAACTAAAATTATATACTTTCTTTTCTTTGCATACTAATACTAACACACTGCTCAGTCATATAACTTCAGCTTGGGCAATCCAAATGCAGGTGTCAAAACTGCAACTTCTTTCTATTTTTACATGGGAGTGTCCTTTTGTCAGACCCTCTGACCCCCAGCCTGGACCTATTTTGTTGTATTTGAATATTTCTAAGCTCTGTTAAACATTTTAGTAATGGGTAGGGCCTGGGATAATTTTATATGGAAGCATTTTATGGGACTCACCATTTTCCTTTTACTGTCTAAGCTATTCAGTCACAGAAGACAAAAATGATACCCCATTTGATGATATTTGCATAGACCCTTTAAGGAGTTTAATTGAGGAATAGCTGTTTGTTATGTGAAGGAATATTGGGTTCATTGTCATCAAGTATAGAACAATAGACTCATCACCTGCAAACAGAAACATAAATTCCTGCCTACTTTATCACAGTCCAGTCCTGGGGATAAAATGTGAAGAGAAAGGATTAACAATTTAGAAGAACAATGATATAAAAGTCCACAAAAATAAATGCTTTTCTTCCAATGACTCTAATAGCCACATGAGACAAAACAAAACAAGCCTCCAAATCCAGTCTTTCTGATAAAAGTGGGAAAGTAACAACCAACAAGTTATTGACTTTTACTTGGCCCTACAAGGAGAAAGATTCATTGGCTTGATGCACCATTTTCTTAGGATCACTGCCAGGACCATTCCTTGGGAGTTCACAACCTGGTCCTGTGTGACCACCATTGGCATTGTCTGTTTATGATTTTGCACCCTGAGGTTCTTGGATGCACAGTGACTTCAGTGACATTGCAAGAGAATCAAAGTTCTGTCCTAAATGTTTCAAACTTAACTTCCAGTCATTGTCTCTCTTTGATTTTATCTCTTCTTGCTTCGGGATTTCCTACTGGCCTCACTCAGTTCAAAGACCAATTGAAGCAAGAATGGGAAAGTTGCTGTGGGGCTTAAATTTCTTCAGCCCCAGGGGAATTAGATGAAGAAACCACTAAAGACATAGTCCTGGGAAGAAAAGAAAATTCTGGGCCTCCCTGGTGGCACAGATGGTTGAGTGCCGCACTGTGAAGCTGTCTGCAGCCTCTGCAGTGCTGGTTCAATCCCAGCGGGCCAGCAAAAATCCCACATGGCACAGCAGACCTCTCCTGTCTTGCCTTCTGCTCCCCTCAGCAGTGTATTTCAGTCAGTCTGCCTGTTCTGTTCCCCCCTCTGTCTCTGGTGAATCCTGTCACCCCCCCGCGCATCTGGCCTGTACCCCGTTTCTTGTAAAAATAAATCTTTTTTTAAAAAAAAGAAAAGAAAATTCTGGCCCAGGAGTGGATCATGCTGGTCATAGGGGCCTTGGGAGACAAGAGAACAGCATGGAATACCTGCCATCCTGACTCTCAGAAGTTGAGCTGAAAAAAGTCACTGGAGAGGATGTTGTTTTGTTCAGAGTAGTAGAACATCTCCCAACACGCATGGTTATAACCCTTGCACTCCTCATTGCTTCTCCTTTCCCTTCTGTGCGTGAGCAGAACAGCTGCTAAGACTTGGGGATGTAGCAGCAGGTTTTACTGACGTGGACACCCAGACTACTCCAGGGAACCGATGACTGATGGGAAGGGCCCATCAATTGGTTTGGTAAAGCAGGGTTATGCAACAAACAATGACTTGTCTCTGCAAAATATATTTTGTTCATCATGTATTTTTCTTGTATTAATTTTGGTTTTTAAAAATAATGCATTAAGATATTATTTGATTATTGAATGTTTGATCATCTAACCCCTTAAGTTTTGTGTCATCCTAGTGCTGGCCCTATACAGAATTAAAGGGAATTGACTAGTCTAAATCAGATTTTATCAAAGTGGAATTTTAATTAGACCAAAGCAGACAGAAGATAATTACTTTTTGGGTAAATTTAAGAGCAAGTCTCTTCAAAAGAGAATTTCTGGCTATGATGCATTCTGCACAGAAATCTAGACCCGTTTTGTTGTAGCATCCTATATAAGCGTGGATTGTGTGTTTCGGGAGAGAAAGTGAAATTTATAGGTCATACTCTCCAACCATAAAAATCTGTGAAATTGCTGAAGAGAATTATCTCATCAATTAATAGTTGTGATAACAAAAGATCTCAGTGATTATTTTCACATGTGATTAACATGATTAACATAACCCATCTTTATAACCAAGTCAAACTGATGTGACAGATATGGTATATATTTGAATTTTCATGCTTTTAAAATTAGACATTGCTAAATATATAAGAGGGCTGAAGTAAATGAACATAGATATCCTTCCTAATTTTAAAATTCAATAATTCTTATTCAGTGATTGTTAGGATACTAGGAAACAGAGATGAGCTCTCTAGAAGGACCAAGAAGAATTAAATCAAATGTTGTTTGGGTTCTTATTCAGTATTGAATTATAGACACTGTTTCTCTCTTGTTTTATTTGGAATAAGAGCAAACTCAGGGAAATAGGGGAACCAAAGGATAAAGAAAATATAGAGGACCACAACTACTTATTTTTCTAATAATGTAGACTCAACTGAATAATGTTGCTGTTTATTTTCTGCATGGTGCAGAACGGTCTATGAGGCTTGACATGAGGATCTCTCTCTTTTTTTAAATCCTTGATCTACCACCAGCAACTTCTTAAAATTAGGTAATTAAAAACTCCCCTAGGGATCATATTATAATTTCCAGAATTAGTCTACTATTCCTATAATGATAATTGGAATTATGTATTGTACTTAATTAAGTTTTTCTTCTTTTAGCTTCTAGAGGTGCTTCGTTTGCCTGTTTTGAAGAAATAAATTCAAGAGGTGATAGATATGGAAACTGTGGCAGTCGTCCATGCCGTTTTGAGTGTGTATTTCAAAAATTATAATTGTGTAAAGTAGGATGGTGTTGCTAAGATCCTAGAATATATTAGTATGTACATACAAAAATGTTAGTTTTCTTTGTTTCCTGTCCTGGACCAAATAGTATTACCAACTGCTTATGTATAACTTGTGTTCAATGCCTATAAAATTACAACAGTAACCATAAAAATCGCCTTTATTTTTTGTTCTCATGAGCTAGACATTGTTTTAGGTAGTTTGTATATGTTATAGATTTATTATATAGTATAAATATATTTTTAGAGATAAAGTGTTTATAGCAAGAATTATTTATTCCATTTTATTGATAAAATAATTGGAGACCAGTGATCATTTGCTCATATATCAGGAATTATTATAAGGTAGATTGTAGGTGTCATATTGCAAAAATAATTAATTTTCCCTCACCATATTGTCTCACAAAACAAAAAAAAAAAATCCACATTATAGGTCAGTGTGGTCAAAAAAAATTACTGAGAGCAGATCATGAGCCCTGGATTTAAATTAGTAATATACTTTTTTAAACTTAGCTATATTAGCAATCTGCATTATTTCTGTAAATAAAACAACATTTTTTCTACCTTGTGCTACTAGGAATGTTCTATGTGGAAAATTAGCTTGTGTTTGGCCACACAAAACATTGGTGTTCCGTGCAAATTTATCTGTGATTTATACACACGTACGTGAGGATTTGTGTGTTTCTACATTTCGAATCTCAGAAAGTTTGCCGAGACCCACAATTACCACCATTGAGACACCTGAAGAGAGAGATGATACGTTTGTGGAAGATGGCACTGTGTGTGGCCCTGAGATGGTAATTACAACTGAAAAACTACTTTGAAAATTATATTTTTTCTTAGACATATATTGATAATATATAAGCTAATGCATTTTTAGACAGTTTTGTGGAGCTATCATTTACCATAAAAGTCACCCATCATAAGCCTATGATTCATTACTTTTGATTAAATTACAGAGGAGTGCAAACATTCCCACATTCAGTTTTAGAACTTACTAGTGATGGCTTAAATAAATTAAGGCAAGCAAACATTGAGTTTGTTAAATAATTAAGACTGAGGACTTGAGCCCTCAGTCAGTCTGCAGGTAACTGTGGGAAAACCGCCTGAATTCTGAGCCTCACAATGAAAATTTTATACAGTCCACCAGGAAAACATATTTATAAGGATTTTTATAGAAAAAATCCAGGCAATCGTCCAGTTCATGCATTTATTTGATGTTGTCTATGCATTGTGGAAAACAAGGAGGTTGTTTAAATTTACCCTATTTAGAGCCTTTTCTTCTATAAATTGGAAGTTCAAGAAATGTCATCATAAACCTGGATCTGTCTGTCTTTGAAGTTACTGATTTGCCTGGATACAACCTTTTTTTCTGTTGCTGATGATGCATCTTAGCCAACTGTGCCTTGGCTCTTTGGCTTGAACTCCTTAGTTCAGACCAGGGAGAGGGATGCCCGTTAAGCTGTTGATTTTAATTTCTACTAACCAACACAGCTATCTAATAATATTATGGTGCATTTGTTATAATCAGTGAACTAATATTGATACACTGTTATTAATAAAATCTCCATATTACTTTTTGATAATAGTATATGAACACCAGAATACCTTGCTTATTTTAAACATATGGAATACAAATGTACCCTGATGCCTCTCTCCCTCTTGAAATCTAAATAATAAAGACTCAACTCTCCATTACAGAGCCCTGGCCATTTTCTTTCTGTATATCTTGTCATTATGATCCAAAGACAAAATATACAAAATACATAACCTTTTCACAAAGTATTGAATATACTGCAATTTTTAAAAACAAATTTTATTTTTATATTCCCCATACAATTGCAATCCCCTTATTTTGACCCCAATCCCTCCCCTCCCTGCCCCCCCCCCACCCATAGAGTGTCTCTGGTTCATAGTTGTTTGTTGATTTTGATTTTCACTTTCTTATAGTTATTCATTTTCCTGGTCCCTTATTTAAGTATTCTAGATTCCTGCTATGAGTGAGACTATCTGGTATTTTTCTTTTTCTTTCTGGCTTATTTCACTGAGCATGATCCCTTCCAGCGCCATCCATGTTGCTGCAAATTGCATGTGTTTATCTTTTTTGAATGTTGAGTAATATTCCATGGTGTATATGTACCACATCTTCTTGATCCAGTCCTCTGTTTTTGGGCATTTGGGCTGTTTCCAAAGCTTAGCTATTGTAAACAGTGCTGCTATAAAAATAGGGGTGCAGGTGCTCTTTGGAATTGATGTTTCTGTGTCCTTTGGGTAAATACCTAGGAGTGGAATTGCTGGATCATATGGAAGCTCTATGTTTAGTAGGTCCAGAAATCTCCACACAGCTCTCCATAGTGGTTGGACCAATTTGCACTCCCACCAACAGTGCAGGAGAGTTTCTTTTTCTCCACAACCTCACCAACATTTGTTGTTGCTAGTTTTTTTAATATGTGCCATTCTCACTGGTGTAAGATGGTATCTCATGGTAGTTTTGATTTGCATTTCCCTGACTACAAGTGATGTTGAACATTTTTTCATATGCCTGTTGGCCATTTGCATTTCCTCTTCAGAGAAGTTTCTTTTTAGCAATTCTGCCCATTTTTGACAGGATTATTTTCTTTGTTTGTGTTGAGTCTCATCAGCTCTGCAGATTTCTGTGATCAGTCCTTTATCATTAGTGTTGTGTGCAAAAATGTTCTCCCAGTCAGTGGGGTTTCTCTTTGTTTTTGTTATTGTCTCTTTTGCTGTGCAGAAGCTCTTTAATTTGATGTAGTCCCAGCTGTTTATCTTTGCCTTCACTATCACTGCTTTGGGTGATGTGTCTGTAAAGATGTCTTTGATGTGCATATCACGTAGTGTTTCGCCTATATTTCCTTCTATGTATTTTATGGTTTCAGGTCTTATGTCTAGTTCTTTAATCCATTTTGAGTTGATTTTTGTGTATGGTGTGATGAAGTGGTCAAGCTTCATTCTTTTGCATGCAGTGACCCAGTTTTCCCAGCACCATTTATTGAACAAACTTTCTTTTCTCCAATGCATAGTCTTTGCTCCTTTGTCAAAGATTAGTTGACCATAAATCTGTGGGATTATTTCTGGATTTTCTATTCGATTCCATTGGTCTGTGTGTCTGTTCTTGTGCCAATACCATGCAGTTTTGATGATTATGGCTTTGTAGTAGAGTTGAAGTCTGGGAGTGTGATGCTCCATTCCCTTCTTTTTTTTCAGGAGAGCTTTGGCTATTCGGGGTTTTTGGTGGCTCCATATGAATTTCATCAATAATTGTTCTATTTCTTTGAAGAATGACATTGAAATTTTTATTGGAATAGCATTGAATCTGTATATTGCTTTTGGTAGGATGGCCATTTTAATAATGTTTATTCTTCCAATCCATGAGCAGGGAATGTCTTTCCATTTCTTTGTGTCTTCTTCTATTTCTTTTAACAGTGTTTTATAGTTTTCTTTGTATAGGCCCTTTACCTCTTTTGTTAGATTTATTCCCAAATATTTGATTTTTTTTGTTTCAATAATAAAAGGGATGGTTGTTTCAATTTCTTCTTCTTCAGATTTATTGTTTGTGTATAGGAAGGCTACTGACTTTTGTGTGTTGATTTTGTATCCTGCCACTTTACTGAACTGATTGATGAGTTGAATTAGTTTTTCTGTGGAGTTTTTGGGGTTCTCTCTATATATTATCATATCATCTGCAAATACTGATAATTTGACCTCTTCTTTTCCTATTTGGATTCCCTTTATGTCTTTCTCTTGTCTTATTGCTCTGGCTAGGACTTCCAGTATTATATTGAAAAGCAGTGGTGAGAGTGGACATCCTTGTCTTATTCCAGATCTTAATGGAAATGCTTTCAACTTTTCACCATTTAGAATGATACTGGCTGTTGGCTTGTCATATATGGCCTTTATGATGTTGAGGTATGTTCCTTGTATCCCAAGAATTTCAGGACTTTTATCATGAATGGGTGTTGCGCTTTGTCGAAAGCTTTCTCGGCATCTATTGATATTATCATATGGTTTTTATATTTCTTTTTGTTGATGTGTTGGATAATGTTGATTGATTTTCAGATGTTGAACCATCCTTGTGTCCCTGGCATGAATCCTACTTGGTCATGGTGAATTATCTTATGGATACATTGTTGGATTCTGACAGCTAAAATTTTGTTGAGGATTTTTGCATCAGTGTTCATTAGGGAGATTGGCCTGTAGTTTTCCTTTTTTGTGTTGTCCTTGTTCGGTTTTGGTATTAGTGTAATGTTGGCTTCATAGAACGTGTTTGGTATTGTCCCTTCCTTCTCAATTTTTTGGAAGAGTTTGTGAAGGATAGGTACTAGTTCGTCTCTGAATGTTTGGTAGAATTCATTTGTTAATCCATCAGGTCCTGGGCTTTTGTTTTTGGGGAGGATTTTGATTACCATTTCAATTTCGCTGCTTGTAATTGGTCTGTTTAGGTGTTCTATTTCTTCTTTATCTAGCTTTGGGTGATTGTAGAGTTGTAGGAATTTGTCCATCTCCTCTAGATTGTTGAACTTGTTTCCATATAAATGTTCATAGTAGTTACTGACTATTCTTTTGATTTCTGCTGTGTCTGTTGTGATTTCTCCTCTTTCATTGCTGATTCTGTTTATTTGTGCTTTCTCCCTTTTTTCCTTGGTGAGCCTGGCTAGGGGTTTGTCTATTTTATTTATTTTCTCGAAGAACCAGCTCTTGGTTTCATTGATCTTTTGGATTGTTTTTTTAGTTTCGATTTCATTTATTTCTGCTTTGGTTTTTATTATTTCCTTTCTTCTACTGGTTTTGGGGTTTTTTTTGTTGTTCTTTTTCTAGATCTTTGAGCTTCGAGATTAGGTTGTTTCTTTGAGTTCTTTCTTGTTTCTTGATGTGAGCCTGTATTGCTATATATTTTCCTCTTATTACTGCTTTTGCTGCATCCCATACATTTAGGAAATTGGTGTCCTCCTTGTCATTCAATTGAAAGAATTTTTTAATTTCTTCTTTGATCTCCTCATTAGTCCCGTGGTCTTCCAGTAGTGTGGTTTTCAATCTCCATGAAGTAGGAGAGTTCCTTACCTTTTGTTTATGGTTTATTTCTAGTTTGATGCCTTCATGGTCAGAGAAGATGGTTGGTATGATTTCAATCTTGGTGTATCTGTTGATGTTTGTCTTGTGTCCCAGTATGTGATCGATCCTGAAGAATGATCCGTGTGCGCTTGAGAAAAATGTGTACTCCGTTTTTTTGGGGTTTAGTGTTCTATAGATGTCTGTTAAGCCCAAGTGCTCTAGGTCCTTATTTAGAGCTTTAGTGTCTTTATTTATTTTGTGTTTTGTTGATCTGTCCATTGCTGTTAGTGGTGTGTTGAAGTCTCCCACTACGTATGTGTTTTCTCTGATGTCTTTTTTCAGAGATGTCAATAGTTGTCTGATATATTTTGGTGCTCCTTCATTTGGTGAATATATGTTAATGAGTGTTATTTCTTCTTGAAGTATTGTCCCCTTGATCATAATGTAGTGACCTTTGGGGTCTCCTTTTATCTTTTTGAATTTGAAATATGTTTTATCTGATATTAGTATAGCTGTTCCTGCTTCCTTTTTTGGTCCATTTGCTTGTAGGATTGTTTTCCATTTTTAACTTTGAGTCTATTTTTATCTTTTGTAGCTAAATGTGTTTCCTGGAGACAGCAAAAGGTTGGGTTTTGTTTCTTAATCCTACCTGTGATTCTTCGTCTTTTTATTGAAGAGTTTAGTCCATTTACATTTAGAGTTAATATTGATATGTTAGCATCTGTATTTGTCATTGTGTTTGTCTTTCCTTTGATTTCATTTATTTATTCTTTTAATGACTTTTTTTTTTTGCCTTCTTTCATTGTTATTCGTCCCTCTGAAGTTCTGGCTTTAGGATTCCTTGTAGTATTTTTTGGAGTGGGGGTTTAGTTGTAATGAAATTCCAGAGTTTCTGTTTGTCTGGGAAGGTCCTTATTCTTTCTTCATAGAGAAAGGAGACCTTTGCGGGAGAGCGTATTCTTGGTTGACTTCTGTTTTCTTGGAGTCTGTTGACTGTGTCCCTCCACTCTCTCCTTGCCATAGTGTTTCTTTGGAGAAGTCTGATGTCAGCCTGATTGGTTTTCCTTTATATGTTATCTGTTTCTTCCCTCTTGTCAGTTTCATTATTTTTTCCTTGTCCTGGATTCTTGGGAACTTTACTATTATGTGTCTTGCTGTTTTTTTCCTTTCGTCGTGGAAGTTTGGTGTTCTTCTTCTTCTTGTATACCAATTTTCATCTCCTTCTTCACGTTTGGGAAGTTCTCTTCAATTATCTCCTTGAATATTTTCTCTGTTACATCTCTCTCTTCTCCTTCTGGTATTCCTATAACTCTTATATTTCCTTTCCTCATGGAGTCAGATAATTCCTGAAGTTGTTCTTCGGTCTTTTTCCTTCATACTTATCTTTCCTTTTCTGTTTTGTTTCTTTTTATTTCTGTGTCTTCAAGAGTACTTATTCGTTCTTCCATTTCATCTATTCTGCTTTCATTGCTTTCCCCAGAGTTCTTTAGTGCCTCCATTAATTCTTTGATTTCCTGCATTTCTTTCTCTTCCCTCTTTAGGGACTCAATTTCATTCTTCTGATCGCTGATTATTTTTCTGTTATCATTGTTTTCCTTTATGAGTTCTGTCATTTTTTTAATCATGGCAATTTTAAATTCTCTTTCTGGAAGGCTCAGAAGTTCTTCCAAGATACTATCGTTGCAATCTGGGGGTTGTTTTTCTTTTTGTGGTGTGCTTTTTTCCTGAGGAGTTGCTAGATTGTGTGTGGTTCTTCTACTCCCTACTGTCTGTTTTCTAATTTGCCGTATGCATTGGGACACTGTTTTGCTGGTACTGGCCGGCATCTTGGGTGAACTTCTCCGCTCCCCTCTAGCTTCTCCAGGAGCCATCTGTCGGTTTCAAGCAGTCTTTACTGAAGAAAGGTCCCTGTTCTAAAATTGCGATGTGGGGACACACTCCCTTGCATGCCTGGTCTGCCCTGGCCATGGGTTCCCGCTCCCCCTCTGGGTTCGGACTGCAGGCCACAAGGGGCCTGGCATGGGCGAAATTCCCTGCTCCCCTCTGGCTCCTCCAGGAGCCTTCTGCTAGTTTCAGGCAGTCTTTGCTGGAGAAATGTCCCTGTTCTAAAATGGCGATGCGGGACACACTCCCTGCACGCCTGGTCTCGGGCACACTCTTCTGCGCGCCCGGTCTGCCCCAACTGTGGGTGCCCACTCCCCCTCTGTGCTTGGACGGCTGGTCAGAGGGGCCTGGCCTGGGCGAACTTTCCAACTCACCACTGGCTCCTCTGGGAGCCTTCTGCCGTTTTCAAGCAGTCTTTTCTGAAGAAAGGTCCCTGTTCTGTGGGGTGTTGGTGATTTTTTTTCTGGTCGCTAGGTGGCGCCAGAGATCTCTCCTAGTGTCCTTGGGAGCATTTTTTTTCATCCCGTGGGACAGGGAACAGAGTGGGAGTGGTGGGAAAAGCCTCAACGACTTTGGGGTGCTGTGTCTGCCTTGTGCCCCACCATTGTGGGGAACCCACGCCACGAATTTCATGCCCCAGGTCTCTGTTCCAAAGCCTTCAGGTCCAGGACGCGGGCTGTAGCCCAGTTCAGTGTCCTCAGAAATGGCTCCTTTTGCATCCTGCTCCCGTGTCTGGGCACCTGGTTTCTGATTACTCAGGGAGGGACATTCACCTCAGTGAGGACCCCTGCATGTCTCCCCACAAGCCTAGGTCACAGGTGCAGGGACCTGGGCAGCCGCCATCCGCGTTTGCCCTTCAAGCTCGCTGCTTTCCCTCACAAGCTTACCGGCTGGCCTGGGGCTGTGTGCATGTCTCCAGAGTCCTTGTTTTTCTCTAATGGTGCCCGGAGCCATTCACTCACCTCCACAGCGAATCCTGCAGGGCTCTCCACAGCTCCAGTTCATGGAATGTGGTGGCTGAAATAATTCCTTTCCATTCACAGTCCTGCTTGATGCGTAGTTTGTTCTTGTTGGTTGTTTTAGTTTTTTGTTTTTTTCCTCCTTTCTGTTGGTCAGAGAGTGCCGACTTTGTGGGTGGGGGAGGGTCGCAGGGCTTTGAGCTTTCCTCCCTTCTAGTCCTCTTTTATGGCAACTTTCTTCTTTGGGTAGTTTGCTGGAGTCATCCGTTTATCTTCCGTGTCCCAGTTCTCACTGGGACCTGCCGCTTTTCCTCCCTATTAACTTTTTTTTAATGGGAGATCTTACTCGCAGCGTTTCCTTGCCACCATGTTGATCCGCCTCTCACTGCAATTTTTTTTGAATAAATAGGAAAGGTCACAGAAATTAATGCCATAAATTAGAACAATGTTCACATATTTAGAATTAGAACAAATTCACATATTTAACATTCTTTTCCTTAGAAGACAATCTCATCACTGGAAGTCTCTCATTTTTCTATTACCTCATATAAATTATCTGTTACCCTTGCTCTTCTTTCTCCTTCTTTTTTTTTCACATGAAATAGTAAACTATCTTCCTTTGCTGCTCATACTTATGATTTTGAGATCTCAACCTTCCACTTGATAGTTCTCAACACTAACTGCTATAATTGACTAAACCTAACTTTATGAATTTTGATATAATGTTCTAAAGTGGCACCCAGGAATGGGTATTTTTTAAATGCTCCTCAGAAATTTTTGAACTTAAGGGACTAGTCATAATATTTTTCCAGATATTTCTTTCTCTAAAAGGACTTCTGGTGATAGTAAGCATGTAAAACTTGTGACTTTTTATATATGATAATGTCTTTGCAATCTGAAGGTATGTAGCTTATTTCATGTTTATTTCAATGTAATTACATAGTTACTTATTTTTTGTAAATTTTTGGCAGTTCTTGGTAATATGAATTCTGGAATTTTCTTGAATTTTTCTTATGTTTTATTTTTCACTTCTCTTTATTTTAGTTTTGTGTTAAATTTAGATGTGTAGAGGTTCAGTACCAACCCTATTATGAGGAATGCACTACTTCTATAACTTGCAGTAACCATGGAGTAAGTAATTTTAATTTTAAATTTAGTGACATACATTGAATAATTTGATAAAGAAATTAGAGATTAAAATAATTTGAATTATTTTAAAAATCATTTTCTGCTGTTTGGTGTCATTTAATAATCTATAATTTAGAGCTTCAATCTTTTGTTCGTAAGAAATCTTGTGAAACTATTTACTAGAGAAGATAAAGTAGATATTTAAAATGATACTGGACATATAAAATGTTCAATAAATATGTTAGATGTACTTTATTTACCATATATTGCCATATAGTCAGAATAATCTTATTACTACAAAGAGAAAGCAGAAACTAGTCAAGAATTAAAAAGCTGATTAGAATTTTCTCACTAATCTTGATTATTTAGAGTAGGCGTTGTTATGTGATGCTAGTAAGTAAATAATAGTTAGTGACAATTTACTAGTAATGGTTAATACTTGGTTCTGGCTAGGTAGAAGAGTTGAAAGAATTAAAAAAAAAAAACTGATTTGGCAGCAGAAGCTAGATATACTTTCCAGTATGAAAAATTTTAAGATAAAATTTGTGGAAAAATGTTGAATTTTGTCTCTTTAAGACAAATCATCTAGAATGAACAAAATCTTTAGATGAATTCTCTGGAATAGCTTCTTCACTGAATGAGTATAGAATTAGTCTCCATTGAAAGTAATCTTTGTGCAGAAAAAATGTTCTACTTTCTGATTATTACAGATTTGCAACAATTTTAAACACTGCCATTGTGAACAAGGGTATGCTCCTCCTCTTTGTGAACAAAGTGCAGGTGGATTCGGAAGTATCGACGATGGACATTTTGTTTTAACTAGTTAGTGTCTTTACAATTTTATTAATCCAATACAACAGACATTACATGATTTTTCACTTTTTTGTTCCACAGGACATTTTGGTTGCAATCTGTGGATTAGGAAGTGTAATTAACTCAGATTTGTAGAAAAATCAAGAATATGAAAGAGATAGTATGCTTGTTTGTTCCTATAACAGGCCCACACTAATTTAGTGGTAGCTGTTTTTGTCAGGATATGATGCGTTTTTAGGAATTAAGTTTTATTTCTGATATAGGAAATTAAAAAATGTAATTAATTTAAAAGTAATCTCATGTCTTGATCCAGACATTTGAGATTGTTTCCATACTGGCATTTTTATCTCCGTCTCCACCTTATTCAATTCTGCTTTTTATTGCCATATAACTGACATATATCATGTTCATTTCAGGTGTAAAACATAGTGATTCTATATTTGTATACATTGTGAAATGATCACTATAATAATTTTTTTGTGATGGGAATTTTTGTAAGGTCTACTCTTTTTTTTTTTAAAAAAAGATTTATTTATTTATGTATACAAGACCTGGGGTGCAGGCCAGAGATGCGGGGCATAAGAGGATTCACCAAAGACAGAGTGGGGAGCAGAAGAGGTGGATTGACTGCAATACACTTCTGAGGGGAGCAGTGGGAGAGACAAGAGAGGTCTGCTGAAATATGTGGGTCACCTCCCTGGCTGGGGATTGAACTCATGCTGCAGTGGCTCCTGATAGTTTCATAGTGTTGCGACTTAACCCCTTGTACCACCAGGTAGGCCCCTAAGGGCTACTCTTTAAGAAACTTACAAATATGCAATAATCATTAATTATAGTCACCATGCAGAATATTACATGCCCATTACATTTATTTTATAGCTGGAAATTTGTTTCTTTTGACTCTCTTCACCGCAAATCCTGTGATATTTGTCATTATCTGCCCTCAAGGCCAATTCATGTTGCAAGTGGAAAGATTGTTTTCGTGGCTGATTAATGTCCCATTCCCTCTCTCTTCCACATCTTGGTTATTACAAAGAATGGTTCAGTGAACATGGAGATGCACATGTAATTTCTAGTTAGTGCTTTTGTTTTCTTGAGAGATGTGCTCAGAAGTAGAATTCTTAGAGCATATGTTTAATAGTTTTATTTTAATTTTTTTTGAAACCTCCTTGTTGTTTTACTTATAACTGCATCACTTTACATTCCCAGTAGCTGTGCATGAGTGTCCTTTCCTCCGCATTCTCATCAATACTTGTAATTTCTTGTCCTTTTGATAACAACCACTGAAACAGGTATCAGGTGATTTCTCACTGTGACTTTGATTTACATTTCCTTGATGAATAGTGATCTTCTGCATCTTTTCATGTGTCTGTGTCATTTTTTTTTAAAGATTTATTTATTTATTTATACAAGCACTGGGTATAGTCAGAAGTAGGGGAGGGTGAGAGAATTCACCAGAGCCAGAGCGGGGAGCAGAGCAGGCAGACAGACCGAAGTCCACTGCTGAGGGGAGCAGCGGGAGGCAGGCGACGTCTGCGCGCCATGTGGGACTCTCCTCCAGTGGCCAGGGAGCAGCTAGGGATTGAACCAGCACCGCAGAGGCTGCGGGCAGCTTCGCAACCCAGCGCTCAACCGCTGTGCCACTGGGGAGGCCCTGTGTCATGTTTTCACTATCTTATTCAGACAAATATTTATCCAGGATTTTTGACTTTTTCTTAATCAAGCTACTTGGTTTTTTGGTTTTTTTTTTGCTAAAGAATTATATATTTTGAGTACTAGCCTCTTGACAGATGTATGATTTGTAAACATTTTCTCCCATTCAATCGGTTGCCTTTTTATTTTGTTGATGAATTCCTTTTCTATGAAGAAGCTTTTTAGTTGCAGGTAGTCCCACTTGTCTATATTAAATTTTGCTGCCTTTGCTTTTAGTGTCAGATTCAAAAAGATATCTCGGGCCTCCTTGGTGGTGCAGGCAGTTGAGTGCCGCACTGTGAAGCTGTCTGCAGCCTCTGCAGCGCGCGGGTTCGATCCTGGCCAGCCGGGGAGATACCCACATGGTGCTGCCCACCTCTCCTGTCTCGCCTGCTGCTCCCCTCAGCAGTGTATTTCATCAGTCTGCCTGTTCTGTTCCCCGCTCTGTCTCTGGTGAATCCTCTCACCCTCCTGCATATCTGTCTATACCCTGGTTCTTGTATACATGAATAAAAAAAAAAATCTCCAAGACTGATGTTAAGGAACATATTACCTGTGTTTTCTTCTAAGAGTTTTATGATTTCAAGTTATATATCCAAGTCTTTAATATATTTTGTGTTAATTTTTGTGTATAGTGTAAGATAATGGTCCAACTTCATTCTTTTGCTGTGGTTGTCCAGTTTCTCCCATTTACTAAAGATACTATCTTTCCCTTTCATATATATGTGACTTCTTGCTTATAAATTAATTAGCCACATACGTATGAATTTATTTATGGGATAAAATTATTTTTGGCACCTTGTGTAGATAACCTGTTTTTGGTAATAAGATTCCTAATCCGATTGGATGTGTCCTTCCATCTATCAGTAATAGTAGTCTTTTACAAGGGGATAATATCCAAATAATGCATAAAAATTAACAGCATTAAAAAATCAATTACAATGGGCATTATACATTTCTTTAAAAAGACATTTATTTATTTATTTTTTAAAGGATTTATTTATTTATTTATACAAGCACTGGGTGCAGTCAGAAGTGCCGGAGGGCGAGAGAATTCACCAGAGCCAGAGCGGGGAGCAAAACAGGCAGACTGATGAAATACACTGCTGAGGAGAGCAGTGGGCGGCAGGAGAGGTCTGCATGCCATGTGGGACCCTCAGTCAGTGGCCAGAGATTGAACCGGGGATGCAGAGGCTGCGGGCAGCTTCGCAACCCAGGACTCAACCGCTGTGCCACCAGGGAGACCCTAAAAAGACATTTAGATGGTCAACTAATAGGTACATGAAAAGTTGTTCCTCATCATTTGTTATTAGGAAAATGCAAAGCAAAACAACGAGAAATCACCTCTCTCCTGTGAGAATAGTTATTATCCAAAGGACAAGAATCATCAATAGCTAAGAACTGAAAACAATGTAAATATTCATTGACAAATTATTGTGTGGACAGTGTGGTATATACACATTGAAATAGACATATAAAAGGACGGAGTGCTGCCATATATGATACAGGGTGGACCTAGAGAGTATAATTCTTAGTGACATAAGTAAGATAAAAATAGACAAACTCTGTATGAGTTCACTCATATATGATAAGTGGATAAACCAAACCAGCAAGTGAACTAAATAAACAATACACTTTAGATTATAAAACCAGTTAGTGGCACCCAGATGAGAAAGGGGAAATGGAGTGGATAAATTGGGTAAAAGGGGCCAATTATATGTGAAGGATGGAACTGGATCTTTAGGGGCCTCCCTGCTGGCTCAAGGGGTTAAGACGCAACCTATGAAGCTTGCCACAGGCACTGCAGCTCGAGTTCGATCCCCAGCCAGGGAGATACCTATATGGCGCAGCAGACCTCTCCTGACTTGCCTGCTGCTCTCCTCAGCAGTGTATTTCAGTAGATCTGCCTATTCTGTTCCCTACTCTGTCTCTGGTGAATCCTCTCACCACCCACAACTCTGGCCTGTACCCCAGTTCTCGTATGTATGAATAAATGAATCTTCAAAAAAAAAAGAACTGGATCTTTAGGGAAAATTTAATCTAATGCATATACATGTCGATTTCCAGTGATACACACCTGATATTTGTATGTTATAATGCAGTGTTAACTTCAATGAAATAATAAATAATTAAAAAAACCCAATCTTTTAACCTTCTTTTCTCATGATATCTGGGTTATGATGGTGTCAGTATTGTATTCATTCTGATTTTCATGATCTGAGTCTTAGAAAACATGATTGCTAGATTAACAATATGAAAAATCAAATTAGCTCTAAATTGATATAATGCCTAACAGTTAATCCACAGATTACATTAAGATTAAATTAACACAAGAATTTTAAAACTCTGAAATTTGCATGGAAATCACTTTGCTCTGTGAACCACAAATCATGATCTGGCAACACTGGTGGCCAGAGTTAAAATTAGCAACAACTACTACAGAAGGTGACTAACATATCTTATGTTCACTTGATACCAAAACAGTGTTGTCTTTAGTCCCCCCGTCTTTTTTTTTAAACTCCCATATGGATTTTGTTACTTTCCTCTAACCTGCCAAGACTCACTTTGGGCCCTTTAGGCATAAGAATCTTCTCTTATTTGCTGGAGCACCAGCATTTTTGCTTTGTTTTGTTTTACCCAGGCCTCCAACTGATTTGATGAGACCTATCTATATTAGAGAAGGCAATCTATTTTACTCAATCTACAGATTAAAATGTTCAGATATCCAGAATGTGTTTGAACAGATATCTGAGCACACTCTGACCCTGTCAATTTGATAAATAAAATTTACTATCACACAGTCTAATAGTATTTGCCAAAGGGAGGAGGCCAGGAGTTTCCTCTATGCAATGTTTTTGGCAGCATTTACTTATCTGTATATATAGATTATTGTCAATCTGAATTTTTTTGATTTATGGTAGAATAGCCAGTTAGAGAAACTATGCAATCATGTAAATTGTGTAATTAGCAGTACAAATGTGAGATAGCTCTATTCATGACCAATATTGTGAGCTCAATATTCATGAGCTCTATTCATGAGCAATATTTATTCAACACTGTCTTTTCTAAACTCAATCTGAATGTGTGGGGGAATAAGGAAAACTTTAGGAGCTGCAGTTGATGTATTCTGGTTTCTCCAGAGAAAAAGCCTTTTTTCTGTACCTGACGTTTGCCTATAAAGTTGGGTGTGAGTAAGAGCTGTCTCAGGGAGTCTGATCTGACAATTAAACCCTTGAGTCATAAAGGTTAAGCCACTTAATAAAAAGGGGTAATAAAGAGGAGTCCTAAAAAGTTGCACAGGTGATTCCCTGAGGTATCTTTGGAAGGAAATAGAAGCTGCTTTGTGCCAGATTGCTGGAAACTTATACTGTTAACCAATGGAAAATGGAGACCCAGAGTAATTAAGAACACCAACCTGAAAGGAGAGTTACAAAAAACATTCTTTTCTGGCTATTTTTGTAGTGCTTGCTAAAATTAGATAGTGCAAGTGAAATAAGTAAGATGAATTTTTCTGGTTCCTGGAAAGCCTGTTTACACTTCCAAGGCCACCTAAGCATATCTTACATTCATTTTCAAATAACTTGTGTTATTATTGACTACCTAAAAGACTAAACAGTAGCTGAGAACCAGTTCCTCTGCTTCTCAGCTCCTCCATTGATTCTACTGGCAATGAAGTGCTAGAGCAGCATCCCATATCAAATATAAAGGAGGCTTGCCAGCAAATTATGGGGAAAGAAGTGCTTGACATATTATAAATCCAGACAGGTGACTGGTATGTACAAAGAAGTGAGCTTTAAGGAGCCACATAGATCAGATTTGCAGAAATAAATACAAATATCAGCTGAGAAGGAGTAACTTACGAGGACAAATATAACTATTAGCACTGGTTAGTCAGAATTGGGTCAGAACTAGACTTCAGTATATATTCTATATAATAATTGCAATACTCTAGTTTTTCTTCAGATTGCATAAATGTTTTGCCTTTTATTATACAATAATTCTAGAGTTTTTTTTTTATAATGTCCTATAGCTACATATTTGATGAAAAAACTTAAATAACATACCTCTGAAAAGATGTGCACATATGACTGAATATACAACGTTGTAAGCCAATGTTTCCTCAATAAAAAATAATTCAATATTATTTAGAGACTAATTTTTAAGTTTTAGGAAAAATTATAGTAATATAATAAAAATTGAATGCTACATTTTCCAGGTTTATTTCTCACCTGTATGTTTAATCCCCATATTCGCTTTGTTTGAACTTTGGAGAAGCTGTACCAGAAATGAATACAAGAAATGTTTGCAATTATTGCATATGCTTCATGAAATAACATAACCTTCAGTCAAAGAAATCACCATGTTTTGAAAGAATGAAATCTCGGAAACATCTATAAAGTACTATTAATAGCCCATTTTGTGTGTTGGTTTTTAAAATTTTATTACATTTGTAATACAAATGAATAAAATTTCAAGCGTTTGGGAATAGTGTTAATAGTGATGTTCTTTACTCCTTTTCATTTGATTAATGAAATCTTTGATTTAATTTGAAGTGGATATTTTTTCATTCTAGGTAAAAATTTAATGGAGAAAAGATATAAAACTCTTCCAAAACACCGATTTCTACTCATTTTCTACATTTTTCTACCTGTCCTTCTCATTACTGTTGCTATTTTAATCAAGCGGAATAAATTAAGAAAATTGTGCTACAGGAAGGAAACTGAAAGTGAGAGGTATAGCTATATATTTATTAAGTTAAATAAATCAAGAAAAAAGTATTCATGTTTCATCAAGAATAATCTAAGGCCATATATAAGGTCTTATGAGGAGGGGTCTAGGGATACATTTCAAACTGTTTTTTCTTCTAGTTTTACTCATTCCTAAACCCATTCAATTTACCACCAGTATCACTGTAGGAGAGATATGACTGCCAACATATTGTGGACGTTTATTTAGCTTCATAATCCATACTGACCTTGTGTAAATAATTATATTGTCCACAGGCTTCATGTGCATGGTCACACTATATTTCAAGGGAACTTTCAAAAGTAGTTTTACAGATAATACAGATTCTCAAATCCAGTGGCAAACAAGCTACTTTATTAGAATATTTTTTTTCAAGTAAAAATAATAACTGTAAACCTACCTCTTTATTTATTTTCCTAAATATTGATATTGCTAATATGTAAAGTTATTCTTAGCTAGAAATTATATGTGAAGTTCAAGTATTAGGTTAGAAGACAGGAAACAGCATCATGTAATGAGGAGGAAATTACATTTAGGTCCAGAAAACTTAGTTTCAATTCCTAATTCTTGCATATAATAGCCATGATATCTGGAATACGATTTCATATTTGGGGGTCTATATTTAATCCCAACAACTTGATACAATGGGAAATAATAGCTTTCCAATATTACAAACTTTTGGATACACCAAATTAATCACTAAAATCACCATATTACCTAATCATTTACATCATTATTGAGCCCCTTAGTCATAATCTTTTTTTTCACTAGCATTATGTACTACTAGTTTCACCTTCCAAGAACTGATGAAAGACATGTATGTATTGTGAGAGAGACGTGTAGAACAAAAAGCTGAAACTTTCAGTGCTATTAATTTTGGCTAATTTGACCTGAAGAATTAGGGAAAATATAGAATCAGATGGGCTATCTGTACAAATTCAAGTTTATAACCTAAATAATTGAAACAGTGTAAAGAGAGGATGAAAGGAATCAATGCACAAAATAAGGTGGCTTATGCGATGTTTTCTATTGAGACAATATCTGTTTTTTTTTTGTGGGGGAGAAGATATTGACTTAATCACTCTGAAAAACATATTTCATTCAAGACGTCACTTATTTGTATAAGATTTTAAAATTTCCTGCATTTTAAAATTATATTATGCCAATTTTATAGATCTATGTCAGAAGAAAGCAGCAGTGACAGCAAATTATCCTCCAGTGTAAGGTGAGTATAGAACAGTGTGAGTTATCATTTTGCATTGTATGTTTTGATCACTATTTAGCAGCACTTAAGAATTCTTAATTTTAAACCAAAACTTTTTTTCATAATTTGTTCATAATTTTATCATTATAGGTTATTTTATAATACTAAATAATAAAACCTGGTTTCATGACATCTCAATATCTCCCTGACTTAGACTAATAGAGCAGTACTTGTACACTCCCCTGGTATTGATGAACACAGAAATTGTGGGAAGACTAATAAGTGGCATAAAGAAACAAGACAGAAACAGATGAAACCAAACTAAAGCAAACCCTAAAAATAAGACATAGCATATCTTAAATTTTGCTTTCTTTATATTAACTTGTTGAATTTTCTTGCTATTTGCCATTAGGTCAATTAGTAATGATCTATTTCTATAATTAATATGGCAAAATAAATAGAAAATATACAATGTAATTATATGGGATTGGAGACATTTATGAGACTCCATGTGTTGTGAGGGATGCTTTGAATATTTCTGCCTTCTCCCATCTTTCATTCTACTCATTCTTCTGTTATGTAAGTTGGGGATTTGGACTATTTATAAACATTACTCATCTTAACTCCAAAAACATTATGTCATTTTCAGCTTTAAAAAGAAATGAAATCTTGCCATTTGTGACAGTATGATGGAACTGAAGGGAATTGCTAAACACTGAAAATGCTAAACTTTTTCAGTGTTGTACTTGTTTACAATAAATACTTCAATTTTATGCTTAACTGGCTTCAATTTTCAAAATTCTGAGGGGAGATTTAAATTTTTAATGTCATAAAGATCCTTTTCTATCCAAAGACCCTGTAATGCCCAACTTTTGTATTGACTCTCTTAATTCATTGTATGCATATGTGAGTGTGATTCATTTTTCTTTATATTACAGTAATAATCATTAAAAATAGTTATAATAATAATGTAACAATCCCTCATTAATCTGAACATCTAGGATGATCATTATTAAAATATTTCTATATATAGTTGTAGGCACCTGTGTATGCATGTATGCACCTGTGTATGTTTTTAATCTTTAAAATATATGATTATACTTGGAATTACCACAGGTTTTCTTTTTTCTTCTAAATTAAAATCAGTTTATTTATTTAGAATAGAAATCTCAACATAATTTGCTTTATTCACCTAAATAATTAATCAAACATAAATAGGATATTTTAGGTAACTACTTCTAGTACAAAACCAAGAATGTTAGCATTTAAGCTAAGAGTTAATTTTCTTTCTGGAATTCAGTATCATTTTCTTCATCCTTTAAATTATCCATGCTTTTAAAATTACTTGTGTTAGAAATGTTAGGTCTAAAAAAAAAAGAAAATAAAAAGCAAGAATGAAAGAAAAAAAGAGCAAAACTGGCATTGTGTTTTTATTTTCTCTTGCAGTAACAGTCTCTAACAATCCTGGCCTAGACAGAGGATAGTACCAAACATAGCACCAGACTGACCTAAACCAAGAAGGAAAAAACATAATTTCTCCATCATCTCTGTAGTCACTGCTGAGGATTGAAATTATGAAATAATAAATCATCTGTATCTGAATCATCTGAATTATGTGTGGTGTTTACTCCTGTATGTCAGTCCCAGTTTCCACCCTATTTATTCCAACTTGAATCCTGAAGAGGCTCTGAACAAGGAGAAAATAGCTCAAGACCCTCATCTCAGGAAGCCAAGAGGGCTTGGCAGTCCAGCCTGAAGATTCAAACGTAGTCAGTATCCCTATCCCTTCTGTGCTTTAGGCCGTTCTGAATTCCATCCCTCAGTATGACCTTCTGCCTTTCTTTCCTCTGAGTCATTAGATAGCCTGTGAACTTGTTCCAGAGGCATTTACTAAGATAGGGACTGAATCCAACCCTTCTTCTTTAAAAAAGCTTCTCTTTGAAAGCTATGTATTTGCTTCAGTGTGTTAAGATGCCTGTTTACCAAAAGATTTATCATGAAGCTAAAGGAACAAAAGCTTTAGTGTCCCACTTACTTGCTAGGGATCTTTTCAAAATCATGGACATAATTTACATAATTTTATATTCTTTTTCTGAGAGAGAGAGGGAGGGGGAAGGGGAGGGGAAGGGAGGGGGGGAGAGAGAGAAAGAAAGAGAGAGAGATCATCAAAGTTTATATAGATTGGGCTCCTCTGAACCTTGATATGCTTGTTTACCAGAATCCTTGGCAGTTGCATGCTGAAGCCAATTTGTACCAGCTCATAAGAGCTGATTAAATATTTTTAAATTTTGCTAGGATCAAAAACAGAAAAACAAGTGTTGGCGAGAGTGTGGAGAAATTGGAACTATTACTGTTGGAAGAAATGCAAAAATAGTGCAACTGTTATGAAAAAGAACAAAATTTAAGTTCCTTAAAAAGTGAAAATAGAATTACTATATATGATCTAGTATTCCCTCTTCTGGATATTTATTCAAAGGTAATGAAATCAGGCTTTAGAAATATTGGTACTTTTTGCTCAATGTAGCATCATTCACAAAAGCCAAGATGTGGAAACAACCTAAGTGTCCATCAGGAGATAAGTGAGCAAAGAGAATGTGGTATATGTGCTCAGTGGAATACCATTCAGCCAAAAAAACCAGGAAATTCTGCAATATACAACAATATGGATGAGTCTTGAGAACATTATGCTGAATGAAATAAGATAGGCACAGAAACATACTGTATGATTCCATTTAAAAAGGGAAATAAATGCTAATAATATGACAGTGCTGCTAAAATAAAATGTTTTGCTTCCTGGGAGAATACTTCTCTATTATAACTCCAATCAAATTGTTTAAAAGGCCAGTGAAATTTTGTGTAATACTTGGAGGATTTTATTCCTAGTTAGGAAACATAGATTTTAGTAATACTGAATTTATGAATCAAACTCTGTGCTGTTGTGCAAATATACTCTGGTATGAAATCTTTATTTAGATGTAAGTTCTGAAAAATCAAAATGTAAAACCATTTTCTTATTTCTACTACAAACAGACTTTGCTCCCTAAATTTTTTTCTGAAATTATTCTGGCAAAACCGTCACTTACCTCTATAGATACAAATCTATAAATTCCATTCAGTCCTTAATTTTTGATTTACTTTTGTTGTCTTACTTGATTGGAAATTCCTCATTGGAAACTTGCACCTTCATTTCTAAAATGTTCTGTTTTGATTTCCAGTTGTATACATAACTGAGAATTCTTTCTCAATTTGTTTTGTTACATTTATTTGTCCTTAAATGTCGGTGTCACTCATCCTTGATCCATCTCTTTTCTTTTCTTTTTCCAATAAATTTTATTTTTCTATTCCCCATCCAATTGCAACCCCCTTATTTGGACCCCAATCCCTCCCCTCCCCTCGCCCCACTCCCCATAGAGTGTCTCTGGTTTATAGTTGTTTGTTGATTTTGATTTTCACTTTCTTATATTCTTTTTCCTGGTCCCTTATTTAAGTTTTCTAGATTCCTGCTATGAGTGAGACCATCCGGTATTTTTCTTTTTCTTTCTGGCTTATTTCACTGAGCATGATCCCTTCCAGTGCCATCCATGTTGCTGCAAATTGCATGTGTTTATCTTTTTTGAATGCTGAGTAATATTCCAGGGTGTATATGTACCACATCTTCTTGATCCAGTCATCTGTTTTTGGGCATTTGGGTTGTTTCCAAAGCTTAGCTATTGTAAATAGTGCTGCTATAAACATAGGGGTGCAGGTGCTCTTTGGAATTGATGTTTCTGTGTCCTTTGGGTAAATACCTAGGAGTGGAATTGCTGGATCATATAGAAGCTCTATGTTTAGTAGGTCCAGAAATCTCCACACAGCTCTCCATAGTGGTTGGACCAGTTTGCACTCCCACCAGCAGTGCAGGAGAGTTCCTTTTTCTCCACAACCTCACCGACATTTGTTGTTGCTACTTTTTTTAATATGTGCCATTCTCACTGGTGTGAGATGGTATCTCATGGTAGTTTTGATTTGCATTTCCCTGATTACAAGTGATGTTGAACATTTTTTCATATGCCTGTTGGCCATTTGCATTTCCTCTTTGGAGAAATTTCTTTTTAGCTCTTCTGCCCATTTTTTGACAGGATTATTTTCTTTGTTTTTGTTGAGTCTCATCAGCTCTTTGTAGATTTTTGTCATTAGTCCTTCATCATTAGTGTTGTATGCAAAAATGTTCTCCCAGTTGGTGGGGATTCTCTTTGTTTTTGTTATTGTCTCTTTTTTGTTTGTTTGTTTGTTTATTAAAGGCAGTTTTTTTTTTTTTTAAAGATTTATTTATTTATTTATACAAGCACTGGGTACAGTCAGAAGCGTGGGAGGGTGAGAGAATTCACCAGAGCCAGAGCTGGGAGCAGAGCAGGCAGAAGGACGGAAGTACACTGCTGAGGGGAGCAGCGGGCGGCAGGAGAGGTCTGCATGCCATGTGGGACACTCCTCCGGTGGCCGAGAGCAGCCAGGGATAGAACCAGCGCTGCAGAGGCTGCGGGCATCTTCGCAACCCAGCTTCAACCTCTGGGTCACCGGGGAGGCCTGTTATTGTCTCTTTTGCTGTGCAGAAGCTCTTTAATTTGATATAGTCCCAGCTGTTTATCTTTGCTTCACTATCACTGCTTTGGGTGATGTGTCTGTAAAGATGTCTTTGATGTGCAAATCACGTAGTGTTTCGCCTATATTTCCTTCTATATATTTTATGGTTTCAGGTTTTACGTCTAGTTCTTTAATCCATTTTGAGTTGATTTTTGTGTATGGTGTGAGGTAGTGGTCAAGCTTCATTCTTTTGCATGTAGCGACCCAGTTTTCCCAGCACCATTTATTGAACAAACTTTCTTTTCTCCAATGCATAGTCTTTGCTCCTTTGTCAAAGATTAGTTGACCATAAATCTGTGGGTTTATTTCTGGATTTTCTATTCGATTCCATTGGTCTGTATGTCTGTTCTTGTTCCAATACCATGCAGTTTTGATGATTATGGCTTTGTAGTAGAGTTTGAAGTCTGGGAGTGTGATGCCTCCATTCCCTTCTTTTTTTTTCAGGAGAGCTTTGGCTATTCGGGGTTTTTGGTGGCTCCATATGAATTTCATCAATAATTGCTCTATTTCTTTGAAGAATGACATTGAAATTTTGATTAGGATAGCATTGAATCTGTATATTGCTTTTGGTAGGATGGCCATTTTAATAATGTTTATTCTTCCAATCCATGAGCAGGGGATGTCTTTCCATTTCTTTGTGTCTTCTTCTATTTCTTTTAACAGTGTTTTATAGTTTTCTTTGTATAGGTCCTTTACCTCTTTTGTTAGATTTATTCCCAAATATTTGATTTTTTTGTTTCAATAATAAAATGGATGGTTTTTTTGATTATTTCTTCTTCTGATTTATTGTTTGTGTATAGGAAGGCTACTGACTTTTGCGTGTTGATTTTGTATCCTGCCACTTTACTGAACTGATTGATGAGTTGAATTAATTTTTCTGTGGAGTTTTTGGGGTTCTCTATGTATATTATCATATCATCTGCAAATAGTGATAGTTTGACTTCTTCTTTTCCTATTTGGATTCCTTGTATGTCTTTCTCTTGTCTTATTGCTCTGGCTAGGACTTCCAGTATTATATTGAAAAGCAGTGGTGAGAGTGGACATCCTTGTCTTGTTCCAGATCATAATGGAATTGCTTTCAGCTTTTCACCATTGAGAATGATACTGGCTTTTGGCTTGTCATAGATGGCCTTTATGATGTTGAGGTATGTTCCTTGTATCCCAAGAATTTCAAGGGCTTTTATCATGAATGGGTGTTGCACTTTGTCGAAAGCTTTCTCGACATCTATTGATATTATCATATGGTTTTTATATTTCTTTTTGTTGATGTGTTGGATAACGTTGATTGATTTTCAGATATTGAACCATCCTCGTGTCCCTGGAATGAGTCCTGCTTGGTCGTGGTGAATTATCTTATGGATACATTGTTGGATTCTGATAGCTAAAATTTTGTTGAGGATTTTTGCATCAGTGTTCATTAGGGAGATTTACTGTAGTTTTCTTTTTTTGTGTTGTCCTTGTTCGGTTTTGGTATTAGTGTAATATTGGCTTCATAGAACGTGTTTGGTATTATCCCTTCCTTCTCAATTTTTTTGGAAGAGTTTGTGAAGGATAGGCACTAATTCGTCTCTGAATGTTTGGTAGAATTCATTTGTAAATCCATCAGGTCCTGGACTTTTGTTTTTGGGGAGGTTTTTGATTACCATTTCAATTTCGCTGCTTGTAATTGGTCTGTTTAGGTGTTCTATTTCTTCTTTATCTAGCTTTGGGTGATTGTAGAGTTGTAGGAATTTGTCCATCTCCTGTAGATTGTTGATCTTGTTTCCATATAACTGTTCGTAGTAGTTTCTGATTATTCTTTTGACTTCTGCTCTGTCCGTTGTGATTTCTCCCCTTTCATTGATGATCCTGTTTATTTGTGCTTTCTCCCTTTTTTTCTTTGTGAGCCTGGCTGGGGTTTTGTCTATTTATTGATTTTTTTCGAAGAACCAGCTCTTGGTTTCATTGATCTTTTAGATAGTTTTTTTAGTTTCAATTTCATTTAT